AATTACCCACAATGCAATACTCAAAGAGAACATCTTGATAACCCTTATTCTTATTGGTCTCTTTTGTTTACTTTTATATGATATTGAATATATTTTATGCTTAAATCATATTAAAAATTGATTTTTATTCAAAATAATACTAAAACATATACATTTATCTAATACTTTTTGAAATATTGCCATAAAAGGGAAGCATGTCATTGTTCATTTTGAAGGTCTCATGTTATTACATAGAGTTGCATACCCTTCTAGTTGAAAGCCCATGGAATTACCAAACTTTAACATAGGTGCCTTATAGTCTGAATATAATTCAGACTAAATAGGATATAGTCTACATCGCACCCCCCCCCTGGCTACGCCCATGCATGTCTTCATACTTTATTTTGTACCCAAGGAGGATTGGAAGCCAGGGTTCCAACTCGATATTCTTTAATCTCCACGCATGCGTCATTTGCTATTCGTGTCTGTATAATTTGTACGACTGCATGGAGAATGACCCGATACTCTCCAACAAAGCTATCGCTAGGTGATTGTTTTGCAGAATATCGGTGTTGCATTCTGGCAGCCAATCCTCCTTGTTTTGTACCAGAAAATAACTTATCGCATCCTACGACCCCTTTACAATCTAAAGGGGTCGTAGGATGCATAAGAAAATAACATGATCTACTACTTTTTTCAAGGCCTGACTGAGTCGCTAACATGCTAAATATAATAGTTAGCTGATGTTTGGGAGTCTGACTTACCTTCTAAAGGTTAGAACCCGAATCTTAATGAAACCATATCACCTTTGTTGCGTCGATGATGATGCATAAACATAGCATTTGATAGAAATTAGCGTAAATGCTTTTCCGACTTTTTCATTTTTCATCAATGTTGACTTCCGGGAAGGCGTTGTAGTTATCACGAAATAACGCATTGACCCTTGAACTTTACTTTGTTGACGTGTCAACCAAGCATGTCTGGTGTGAAAATTAAAAGAATATTAAGCAATGTTCTACATCCGCCAAGCTAAGTGAAGTAGTCAATATTTAAAATTACTAATTTCAAGTGAAGTACGCAACGAACGAAACTGCGTGATCTACACTCCCACTATTGGTCTGAATGAAATGCTACGTAGAAATATGAGCCGTCTGCTGTATTAGCCGATTAATAGAGTAAGACCTGTTGGTGATGCTTTATAATTTAGACCAAAACATTGAAGAACAAACGAACCTGTAAATCGTGAAAACAACGAACAAATATTCGGTTTTCACATATGTTCGGTAATTTTTCGTATTGAAACTTCCGGAACTTACAAGGAAATCATTCATTTTCTCGATCCATGATTTACCTCTTGGATGTTGTGGCAAATGCTCCATGGTTGACGGAACAAAGGTGATATGGTTTCATTAAGATTCGGGTTCTAACCTTTAGAAGGTAAGTCAGACTCCCAAACGTCAGCTAACTCTTATATTTAGCATGTTAGCGACGCAGTCGGGCCTTGAAAAAAGTAGTATCACAATTTTTTACCAAAATGTTATTTTCCATCTGTAAGTTACCTTACCTTTGCGCTCAGGGTAAGAAAATAACCTCTGGGATAGTCTAATACTGATAAACACTCCTTTTGTTGATATTTACATATAGACAGTAAGTTCAATATATTTTATTTATAATTCTATTATATTAGATCTAGTCCTATTGGCATGAAAATTTGAAATGAATGACAGTCACATTTCCACATTTTTAAAATCACCTTTTGCTGATAAAAGCTGACACACTGGTAGAAAAATTTACCTTTGCAGTTTCTCAGTCATATCTCCTTTAGTTTCAACTGTTTGTTAAGTCAAGGATATCATCTCAAACCACCATAAACAACTAAAATTGCAGTGGTTGTTCTGCTCCTTTCTCACTTTTCAGCATGTCAAATAATTTGAAGAGCTACATGTGTTTGCACTGTTGATCCGAACGCACATTTTTTCGCAAACGTATAGTGGGGTGGACTTTTCTTTTTGGGACAATTCTGTCGTATTGCTAGATGTTCCCGTGTCCATGTGATAAAAAATTTATTTAAACATTCTTTTTCTCGAGTTTTATTAGGCTCTGGACAAATCCATGTGCTTTAAAACTTTATGATTCAGAGTGATCTCTAAATCTTCATTGTTTGGCTTTTCAATGTAAAGTTTGAAAGTTCAAAAGTTTGACAAGGAGTGAGTTTGACTGATTTTTACAAATAAAGTAACTAAAACACTGAGTAGAGTATTTTACAGCCAGTCTATACACTGACTCCTTCTAATTCAAATTAAGGTAAGTCTTGAATCTTTCTCTGTCTCAACACAGGGGTAGATCTGGATTTTATTTGAAAAGTAAAGAAAATTTGAGGCCCATTTTCTTCAAAATTTGGCTTATGGCCCCCAAAGTGGGCCTTTTTGGTTACTGGGCCTTTTACAAATCTAGGGAGCCAATTTTTTTCTTGGCCCACCCAAGGGTCCCCCCCCCAGATCCGCCAGTGCAACAGTTTTACAAAAAGAAAGAACTAGATGTTAGGGTGACTCAGAGACATATAAAACATATGTCTCTGCGTGACTATAGACCTAAAAGTTAAAACACCATATGGACTCCCATGCTGTACCCACTAGCGGATCTAGACGGGGTTCAGAATTCAGAAGTCAGAATTGTAACTTGAAATCAAAATGGATGGTTATGGATTGTCAATAACGCATTGCAAACGCTGAAATCAGACCCGGAAATTGGACCGGACCTATGCTCTGAAATTAGTCAGAATGCACCAAATGATGTTCCATTTTCGAAATTTCTCGCGCTCGTTGGCTGCGCTCATTCACACGTTTCGCTTCGCTCACTGTTATTATCAAACGCCCCCCCCAACACAAAATCTTGGATCTGCCCCTGGTACCTAATAGCATAACTGGTCATGTACTTTATATGATATGTGGAAGATTTGGAATCATGAATGGACTTCAACTTATGTGGTGTATCCTGGGGGGGGGGGGGCATGAGGCCCTTGGGTGAGCCCAGAAAAAATGTTGGGCACACATTTTGGAGGGCAATGATTAGTGGGCCTTTTTAGACATTACATGGCCTTTTTTGGGCGCCAAATTATCAAAAGATAGGCCTTAAATTTTCAAATTCTGGGCCCAATCTTTGGATTTAGGGGCCAAAAAGCTCCCCTCCCTTGTTACCTTCTGGATCCGCCAGTGATACCCTTACAGCAAGGACGTTAATTTTTTGTCTCATTATCATATAATCTCCCATCCTCTTTATCAGAGAGTGTCTAGTAACGGAGATAAGCATACTTTACTTACAGAGGACAAAGTAAATGCAGCGAGGCAGCACCAGCAGGCTCTGGAGTATGTTCTATCATTTTAACATTTAGAAGAAGAATAGATGTCTCCTCCGCATAGTATAATTATATAGAGTATAATGGTCATTATGATTGAAGGTAAGACATAAAATGAACTTGCATATTTATTCATTTATATATTTATTCATGAAAATAAACACACTTTTAAGTGCCTAGATTAGACTTGTAATCAATTAAAATGACAATTGAAACTCAATACAATAAATAAAGGCTTTCTTTTTCTCTATGCTATTTTTCTGTAGTTGCCATATCTCCATTTGAAAGATTGACAATTTTGCATGGATTTGCCATTCCTATATAGACCTGTCATTCCTCCTTAGAGTTGCCATTCCTCCTTAATATGGCATTCTTCCTTAAAGTTGCCATTCCTCCTTAGAGTTGCCATTCCTCCCTAGATTTGTCATTCCTTCTTAGAGTTCCCATTCCGCCTCAAAGTTGCCATTCCTCCTTAATGTTGCCATTCCTCCTTAATATGGCATTCTTCCTTAAAGTTGCCATTCCTCCTTAGAGTTGCCATTCCTCCTTAGAGTTACCATTCCTCCTTAGAGTTGCCATTCCTCCTTTGAGTTGTCATTCCTCCTTAAAGTTGTCATTCCTCCTTAATGTTATCATTCCTCCTTAATGTTGCCATTCCTCCTTAAAGTTGCCATTCCTCCTAAGAGTTGCCATTCCTCCTTTGAGTTGTCATTCCTCCTTAAAGTTGCCATTCCTCCTTAATATTGCCATTCCTTCTTAACATTGCCATTCCTCCATAGAGTTGCCATTCCTCCTTAGAGTAACCACTCCTCCTTAAAGTTGCCATTCCTCCATAGAGTTGCCATTCCTCCATAGAATTGCCATTCCTCCTTACCTTAGAGTTGCCATTCCTCCTTTGAGTTGCCATTCCTCCTAAGAGTTGCCATTCCTCCTTTGAGTTGTCATTCCTCCTTAAAGTTGCCATTCCTCCTTAATGTTGCCATTCCTTCTTAACATTGCCATTCCTCCATAGAGTTGCCATTCCTCCTTAGAGTAGCCATTCCTCCTTAAAGTTGCCATTCCTCCATAGAGTTTCCATTCCTCCATAGAGTTGCCATTCCTCCATAGAGATGCCATTCCTTTTTAACATTGACATTCCTCCTTACCTTAAAGTTGCAAATTCTCCATGAGGTTGTCATTTCTGCTTTTTCTAGTGTTACTCTTTCTGTCTGTTCATACAAAAAGTTTATGCGCATATAACTAACTTAGTAAACAAATATTTTCAATAATGTTGCCAAGACTTTTGGCTGATTTTTTATATTGGATATATTGTGGCTCAATAGTATAAATATCTATACATACAAATGATACATTGTTTTAACTTTTGGCGTTTTGCCTATGTACAGTAATTAACTCATCTACCCATAAATGCAATGCTATGTCTGCAAAACCTTACAAAAGGTTGTGTTGGTTCAATGGTAGTGAGTATTACTTGTATCTTATATTAGCAAGATCTTATATCTGAATCATTGCCTTTGTCACTATTTGTGGTACATGTACGTTTTTCCCCATTGCATGGTAAACATATACAAATCATTTAATTGTTTAAAAAAATTTGTTCATTTAAGACAAGGACTGTTAAGGATCAGACTTGTAGTTTTTTTTATTAGTTGTAAGTGTGTAGGTGTTTTTTGCTCAGGTATCAGTTTAAATAAATGAGCATTTCTAATTCAAAACATAAGGGCTAATAGGAAGAATGTGACAGTTTTTTTAAAACATAGCAGCAAACAAATAGTTATTTTGATTTAGCAAAAAAGCTAGGATACATTTATTCAGGCTGGCACATACTGGCTCATAAATAGCATATAATTTCATACAATTAGTCTAGTCATAGATTGGAGTTGTGATAAGTTGGACAGAAGTAACCTGGGAAGGAAATACCACATATGGAAACTAGTAAAAACAAAAACAACTACATTAAATAAGAGATTCGTAGATAATAACCTCAAGATAAATACAGGAATAATTTTTAGCTCCAGAGGATTCATCAATTTGAAAGGAGGAAAAGTACATAATTGACAAACTTAAATATAAAATTGGACACAGTTGAAATTGTAATGATGTCAGAATCAGAAGCTCAACCTCAACAGGGTCAAATGATCCTCACACCTTTTCAAATCAAGAAGTTTGAACATCTTTTCCACACTTTATATGGTAAGAGAAATAGTTACAAATACTTTTCTTTGAGATGGATTTTTTTTATATGTTACTCATATTTGATGAACAAAGTTGAAACAGAACCTTAGGGTATCATCATTTCAATGCATACTAATTGCACAACTCTTGCTTTATGTTAGCTTGTGTATTTATTAATTAAATGCCTGTTAAAATCATAATTGTGCCATATACTAGTACACAAATACATGTACAAGTACTACTGTATAAATGTTTGATATTCTCAATTCACAAAATATCCCATTGCTTTTGAATATGGGGACAAAAGGCGGGGGGAGAATTTCGTAGGAGTTATAGGTTTTCTGGTTTTACAAAAGTACCTTTTCAGTCCTTGTATACAATTTATGATTAATAACTCAATTCTGGTAGGGAGATCTCCAATATCCCATTGGCCTCGGATTATACAGGGTGGTCAAAAAATAGCAACTCTAATTTTTCCTCATATCTTCAGATCTTTGTCATTTGAAGAAATCTCACCCTGATATTTGACACAGGTGTACATCATTCAATTCCATACTAGACTATAAATATGTTATTTCATCAACATTGGACTGATAGTCGCAATGTTACAGCACTTTAAACAAGGTGCCCCAGTTGGCGAACATCGTGCTGTAGGCAAACCTGCACACGTTTTCCAAACCTGTCAATGACATAACTGCATTCCTCAGCTAGTATGGCCTGAATGACACATGTGATCTTGATTTTGAGGTCAGATGTTGTTCTGGTGTTATAACCCTACAACTCTATCTTTGGGGAATCCCCACTGGTTAAAGTTAAATGGGTCCATATCTGAGTTATGGGATGCCCATTCATTGTCTGTTGTACTGCTGATAATGTGGTCATTGAAGTGGTCCCAAAGACAATATAGTGCATCATTGGGTGTATGGGGTATGGCTCTATCTTGTTTGAACCGCTGCTCCTGCCTATCAACCCCCTTGAGTTCACCTAAAGTCCCGCGGAACTTCATGGGAATCACAAATAGAGTTTGATGTTGACAGTTATTGCATAATATCCGTTGGCATCATCAAAGGTAAAGGATCCATCTATGTGAAAATGCCTCTCCACTACTTCATCAAGTGCTTGGCTCCCCAAAAATACATAATGATATACAAATTTGTAAAATATCAGGAAATTATTTCCTAGAATGAGAAAGATATTAGGAAAATCTAGAATTGCCATTTTTCACCACCCTGTATTACATGGGGGAGTGCTGGGGGATTAAAAATGTAAAATAAACACTTATATAAATCAAATAATTTAATCTTATACTTTTACCCCATATTATCTGTAAAACATATTCTTTCATATACATTATAGATAAGGCACAAATATATTCGACAATAAATTCAGTTAGTGGCACAGCGACAAAAAGCTCTTTTATGGTCACCTTAACCAATTGCATAATGATTCACCAATTGATCAACATAAATTGCTGGAATTATACTCTCATTAGCTGCCATGTCAGGCGTGATTGTCACTCATATACTGGAAAAATTGAAATCATGCACGCAAATCACGCATTATGTTGATATTTAAAAAAAATCTGCTTTTTATAGTGAAATTGAACGCAGTAAAAATACAGTCTGTGACAAATGGCAGGTAGTGACATTTTGCATTTTAATGCCTTGTTTGTTATATTGAATCAGGTATAAATATGATGATTTCTCCAAGTGACCAAACATAAACAAGCTTTAATATGTTGTTCAAAAAGGTAGTTGATATTGCCAAACTTTTGGAGGAGATTGCATATGCTGTTACATTTTGAAAATACATCAGAATGTTTTGAAAAAACTTAAGATTTTCTTTACTGAATTATTCATTAGTCCAAAACTAGGCAGACGTGAGAGATGAGTCATTCTATGAAAAAGAGATGTTCCTAAAACGGCCTATTAGAAGAGGTACACGTTTGAATGGGCACTGCCACTGACTGTTTATCTTTTTATTCAAACAAAAAACCTAAAACAAAAATGAATTTTATTTAGATTTGCATTAAAGGTTTTTAGGCTCAAGACAAAAATGAATAGAATCATGTTTTTTCCTTTATTTTGTTTTTACATCAAGAATATTGTATGTGTTAAACTATAAGATACCCTTTACAAGAACTCAACTTCACTCTTTAAATTAGAAATAGTTATAAAAACATTCTGATGTATTAATACTGCAAGAGTTATTCCAGTTATTACATGTAGATACTAGTATATTTTAGGTTATCATTATTAGTTAATCATGTAATAGGCCTACATGGCCCACCATTAATAACTGCAATGCAAAGTCGGAGGATATAAAAAAATTTTAAGTTTGTACTGTATTTATTTCATTTATTAAATTCCAAATAAATTTAATGAATTCTTGTTGGAAATTTTCTCTCAGTTTCATTCTAGAACTTGAATTCTTGTGCATGGCAAAGATGGTCTGAGTATCAGAATGTCCGAACATAGGGCTACAGAACTCATTCCTCATTAGATATTTTGGATCTTGGAGCCTTGCAATCAGAGGATGAACCAGTACATGCATAATTTTTTCATTATTTTTTGTTCATATCCATGGGCACTTGAGAACAATTTGCATGACATATAAATTACATCTAGCATACACTAGTTATGTTTATATCTTTCATAAATATCCTTTCCAGAGTAGTCAAGCACTCCTAACCAAACATAGAAAGTCAATTTACTACAACAGATATATTTTCTCCCCTGATTCACATAAGATAGTGCTGCCACAATGTGGTCATGTGATGATTGGGAATCTTTATCTAACCAGTCTCTCTGGAACTTAGTATGATAAACACATACAAGCATGATGATAGTTTGAAAATACAAACAATTCTCTGTCAGTAAATTCAGTACCCAAATTCACCATCACCTAGCTGTACTTCCCTCTGATAACAAATGATTGATACTGATCTCAAGTGGAACTGTTATGGTTTTTGTGACAGTGTTGGGAGTTCAGCACTCAGAGTTCGTTGTTCAGAGTTCAGCATCTGTAACAAATGACAGGTGGTGACATTTTGCATCTAATATTGGAGTTTAAATGTGAAATGAATATTGGCTTTTAATAATAGCAGAGAGACAACAATGTGTCTTTATTTTCTGACTACATTAGAGTATAGTAGTATAACCTCTTACAAAGGGTCTACTTTGATTTAATCATGTAAACATCTTGAGGATCAGGATCAGCCAATCAATTTGAAGAATGTCAAATAGACTATGCTTGGTTTTAAGAGGATGTACTGTCAGTAGTTGGTTAACCAAAGTCCTAAAATTGAAACTGGTGAAGTGTAGCAGCTGAATAAGTCATTTGTCTGGGTCTGCTTAGCCTAGAATTTATTCCATACCTTGATGATGAGTCTTTGTCCCAAAAGAGTCTCGTAACCCTGGTAACATTTGTGTATATACTAGGGAGTTGAAACTGCCAAACTAAACCATTCAGAAGGTTTTATCACAAACATGATAAGATGCAAAATTCTTCACTTCACTTCAATTCAGACTTTTTGGCAAAAAAGCAAAATTTTGTTGCCTCAAAATATATACATGTACTTTATGTATATTTGTCATTCATGTGAAGTAGGAGCCTATACATAAACAAGAAGTATTCCTTTTGGGGTTTGAATTATTCTTTTCAATCTCCAACTATCAGATTCAAACATCATAGCTACGATATCTGTGGTATGTAAAGTTGTGATAGAAATATGCACACACTTTTGTAGTATATTACTGTTTTATTCACTTTAGTCAGACAAGCAATGAAAATCCTCATTATTCTGATTTTCATCATTGATTTATACATGTTTATATATTCTGAGATATTTTTAGAAACAGGATTTACATAAAACCTTCTACCTCATCCCGATACACCAAATACAAAGTCATCATGCTTTTTTTAAAAAATTGGCTCACCCTGTAGAATCGTTGGATTATAAAAATATATAATCACTTTGACGTGACAACCATCTCAAATATTCAATGTAGTAAATATGTGCTAATTGCAACATGTCTCATGCCAGAATGTCAAAGTGTTTATCTATTTTGGATTTAAAGGCTCTTATGAAGCATATCTGTTACATATGTCAATGACTTTATCCTACATATACCCTTAACAAAATCTCAACTTCATCTATACTCTTTAAATTCGAGACAAATTTTTGCATTAAAGATAAGGCAACAGTCAAAAAATCATGATACTCCATTTTCTGCTGATAAGTATCTCATTAAATATCGCAAAATGTCATCAAAAATTCCTCCCACCATCTCTTCAAGGGATATCTATACAAATCAATATTAAAACTGTATTAGGAAAACTCTAACTTCTCCAAGTCAGGTTAATAGACCTTCCCCACAATAAGCCATTTGTACCTATATTTCAGATACACATAAAGATATGACAGTGAGCAGACAGGATTTCTTTGAGCTCCTCAAGGTAAAAATAACCCTATATTTACATTGTTAATCATTGCATCTATCAACACATCACGCTTTGTTTACCCATCTTACTTTGCTACGTGGCATCAAATTCATGAGAAATTGTGTAGTAGCTAATTATAGCTATAAGATTTATTATATACTATTAAGTTCTTTTTTAAAGTTAAATGAGAAATGGTTTAATATATTTGTAATTTTTATATATGTATTTTTATTATATTATATTATTTTTATATATAATATATATTATATAATATATAATTTTAGAAAACTGCTCGCATTCGTCAATGGAAAACAGGGAGTCCTGGCTACAAGAAAGCTGCAGAGAGATTGGCTGGTTTCTGGTCAGCGTTAATGACTGGGAACAAGCGCTACAGAAATAATGCATTACAAGCACATGTAAGTACATGTACAATGCATGACAGACATCTATAATTACATGAACATTTCATATCAGACACCTTTAAGTACGAGTACATGGACAATACACTTTAGAAACATACAACAACGATGCACTAAAACACAATACAAACAATGCATTACAGACACCTGTAAGTACATGGACAATACATTTCAGACGCAAATACAACAACAATGCATTACAGACAATTTTAAATTCACAAATAGCTGTACTTCACTGTACTATATCTTTTGCAATATGTGAAAAGAATTTAGGTTCAGCTGGAAAGTAACATTTTGGTAAAAAAATTGCTATACATGCACATGTTATTTTCTGGTACAAAATTAAGTATGAAGGCATGTGTATATTTCCTTGCTTTTTTCAGGAAAGTATCATTACATTGTCTACTTTTAGTAAACCTGGAAACAGGTCAATGGTAGCTCCTGTGTTGTCTTGAAACTTTGAAAGAAAATTTGGAAAAATAGAAAGTGTGAACTATCAGAATGGAGTTTCCATTGACCATTTACCAGATATACTAAAAGAAGACAATGTAATGATATTTTCCTGAAAAAAGCTTTAGAAAACTTAATTTGGCTACCGTTTTAATTTAATGGATTGGGAAAATTCGCCAATTTTCAACTCCATTTTGGAAAATCCCCAGGGAATTTGTAATTTGCAAATTATTCCACTTGTGTAAGTATTTCTATTTGGATGTCAGTGCTATACCAAGACTTACAATAAGTAGAACACATGAATCTGAAATGCTTATTTCCAGATCAATGATAAAAGTTGAGCTCAGTCCTGACTCCACCAAATTAAATAGCCACCAATATTTGAAATAGAGCAAATCCGCCAAATTAAGTATCGTCAAACTAGGTACATCTACATCATTTAATCCTACATTATCTTAGAGTGGAGAAAAAATGGGGCTTTAACATATGTTATTATAATGTCGATTTAAGCCAAACTTATAAATAAAGTTTCTTATCTGAAGATGAGACCAAGTTGGCTCAACTTTGTGGAATCTTGACAAAAATTCCATATGGAATTCATATCTTCTTCTCTAATGAATGTGTCCACAATTGGGCCTAAATTATCCATGTTTTAGATTTAAGGTAGTTATTTACTGGCAATAGGTGTATCCATGATATAGCATACGAACAATGATTTGACGAGTGATATCACCCTTTTGGAATATTTTATACATAATTTTGATGGATTTAATTAATGAATGTACATATTATACTTGAACAAATCTCATTGTTGCAGATTAAGCTTGATGAGTGGCTCCAATATTGGTCTGATTTTGTGATGGCAGCTTATGATGAAGGGGACTTCCCTGTAAAATCCTGTCATAGAATAGCTCCTGTAAGCTACGCTTGGCACACCAACTTTCTGGAATTCCTCTTCGAACTCATGGATGTCAGTGGTAAGATGTCTTAGCTAATTTCATATTATTCTGAAACAAGAATGTTTAGAATTTTTGTATTTTTTTAGATCATATGGTTTAGTATTGAGTTATTCTTAGATCATAGGCTCAAGGTTTCCTGAATTAGGAACCAACTTTGCATTATATCAAATCTAACATAGATATCACCCAAGACACAGTAACCTTAAAAGGTGTTGCCCAATTGTTTATTTGTTACTTATAAAGCTCTGCTGGTATTTTTGAATTCAACTTTACCTCAGGAGCAAGAATCTTTCACTTAAAGCTATGGAAATCACTTAGATTGCCTCATAAAGTCTGACCTAGACTCCCAGTAGAGTTGGTAATCAGGCACTATCCTCTGCAACATTTTGATATCTTGTCTCACCTGCTGATTTGATCAGTTGGGAATGCACCTGGTGAAAGATCAAAACCCTGTGAGAAGATTGAATTAAAGCTAAATATAGGGATGGCAAATTACAATAAGCAATCAAAAGGATCAGTGTCAAATGTTGATTTAAACCTTATAAGTCTAATCATTAATCTTACTTTCAATTCAATAGTTTTCTTCATATTTCATCGATTTCAAACACCAATTAAATTGACCATGGTGTTTTAACCACATTAAAATGTAATGTTTTAACCAAATCACAATTATCATATACAGTTCATTATCAGATTGTATTTTAATCAGTTCATTACCACACAGTATTACTCGTACAGTTCATTAGCATTATCACATTGTATCTACAGCTAATCATCATATTGTATTACAGTTCATTAGCACATTGTATCTCAGTTCATTATAAATTTGTATTTCAGTTCATTATTACATTGTATTTCAGTTCATTAACATACTGTATTTCAAATTCATTATCAAATTGTATTTCAGTTCATTATTACATTGTATTTCAGTTCATTATTACATTGTATTTCAGTTCATTATTACATTGTATTTCAGTTCATTATTACATTGTATTTCAGTTCATTATTACATTGTATTTCAGTTCATTATTACATTGTATTTCAGTTCATTATTACATTGTATTTCAGTTCATTAACACACTGAATTCCAAATTCATAATCACATTCTATTGCAGTTCATTATCAGATTGTATAATTGCATTTCATTATCAAATTGCTTTATCAAATTATCACAGAGTATTGCAGTTTTTTCACTTTGTAATAATTTGTCATTATCACGGTCCATTGCAGTTTATTATTACATAGTTTTACGCTTCATTATCATATTGTATTTCAGTTCATTATCCCACTGTACTTGCAGTTCATTGTCACAGTGTATTTACAGTTCATTATCGCATCGTTTTTTCCTTCATTGTCACAGTGTATTTACAGTTCATTATCACATCGTTTTTTCCTTCATTGTCACAGTGTATTTACAGTTCATTATCGCATCGTTTTTTCCTTCATTGTCACAGTGTATTTACAGTTCATTATCACATCGTTTTTTCCTTCATTGTCACAGTGTATTTACAGTTCATTATCGCATCGTTTTTTCCTTCATTGTCACAGTGTATTTACAGTTCATTATCACATCGTTTTTCCATTCATTGTCACAGTGTATTTACAGTTCATTATCGCATCGTTTTTTCCTTCACTGTCACATTGTATTTACAGTTCATTATCACATTGTATTGACAGGTGATGGGGTGATTGATAAATCAGAGTTCACCAACTGTTTCGCAGAATTCAGTCTCTCACCAGAGGAATGTGGCAAAGCATTTGATGAAATGTCAAAAGTAAGTACCATAATTAAGGTGATGAACAGAAAAATGATTTGGCTTTTGAAAGATGGCAGCTAGTTTTAAGTTTTTTTTAGATTTACCTGTTTTGTCATTGATGAGGATTATTACTGCCATATATCATTTTATGCAACAATGATTTCACATACTTCCTGTATTGGGCAAAAGGGCAGATCCATCATTCGTACATGATCGACTGATTCTGAGAATAACGCAAATGCGAGAAGGTAGTTACCAGTTTCACCACAAGGTGGCTCGCTCAGGTCAGATAGCATGGCGGGTATAGTAGAAAGTTCCCTTTAACTTAAATTACACAGGTTTTAGTGGTTCACTTTTCATATAGCCCTTATGCATCGAATAGTTATACAAATTAAATTATGTCCAGTAAAAGAAAATGTTATATGTCCAATCGCATGCCCTCGTTTTATGCGTGGCCTATTTGCCACCTAAGGATACCAGCAGGGGAAGCGATGCAGAAACGTTTTTCAATAGCCTTATACAACAAGTGCACATGTATCAAAACGAAGGCCAGCTCTGCATTGGAGGCGATTTCAATGCGCGGTGTGGAAATGAACTCGACTATATCCAAGGGGTGGATGACCTTTCAGAGCGCAACATATTGGATGTTGTGACTAATGAATACGGTGATCACCTTATGGACTTTTTAACAAGCTGCAATTTATGTATGCTAAATGGACGATTTGAGCAGTCTAAAAACAATTTTACGCACATATCTACACGTGGAAAATCGGTGGTGGATTATATACTCGTGCCCAATGAGCAGATACTAAAATGGTCTAAATTTGAAGTATGCACAATGTCAGATGTTATATCGTTGAACAATGTACCAGCTCCGCTGAATTTACCTGATCATTCGTTGCTAAGGGCAACCTTTTTGGATTACGCTATTGAGGATTATTCTACGGAAACAAATATAACATACAAATACAATGTTAACAAGATACCAGCTGATTTCATGAATGACGTAAACATAACACACATTACAGATACTATAAACCATTTAGAAGACTCCACGGACTTAGATGCTGAGGTTAATCTCGCTTATTCAGAATTTGCTGATCTTGTTACAACTGAAATGAACAACAAGCTACCCAAAATTAAACTTGGTGTGAATATTAAGCGTAATAAATCCATGCGTAAACCGTATTGGTGTCAAGAACTACAAGATACATGGAAAGCAGCATGCGAAAAGGAAAAAATATGGTTGAAATTCAATGGTGCTTCAGCTGTCAAGCGACGCCTTAAGGCTGAGTTCTGCAACAAACGTCGAGATTTTGATCGTATGCATCGTAAGTTTAAAAGGAAATATCAAATGCAGGAGCAACAGGATCTTCTTGATATGGCTACTGATAAATACAATCAACGTGGTTTTTGGAAGGAATTTGGAAAAATCGGAGTAGCAAATGATAGAAATAAGGATATACCATTTAAAGTTATTGATGCTAATGGGAATGTATCAACGGATACTGATACTGTTCTCAACCACTGGGCTTCTGAATTTAATAAGTTGTATAATGGTCAGTGCAGTGACCAAATGTTTGATGACATTCATCTGAATAATATAACACGTGAATTAAATGCATCGAATACAAATGAAAATCCAAATGTCAATCCAGAATTAAATCGTGATATTACACATATGGAAGTGAAACAAGCCATATTACATGCAAAATTAAGGAAAGCTGCTGGCCTGGATATGATTCCAGCAGAGAGCATCAAAAATCCAAAATGTATGTTTTTAATGTATAAAATAATATCTCTATGTTTTATAAAAGGAGTAGTGCCATCACAATGGAACAAAAGCATTATACAACCTATCCCTAAGGGGGTTAGCTATAGTCACGACCCTACTGCAAATCGTGGAATAGCTTTAATATCAGTGCCATGTAAAATATATTGTTCAATACTCAACAGTAGATTAACCAAATGGTTGGAGGAAAACAACATCCTATCAGAGTACCAAAACGGATTTCGTAAGGATCGCAGTTGTCAAGACCATCTGTACAGCATATATACAATTATTAACAACAGGAAGGCAGCCAAACAGGATACGTACGTCTGTTTCGTGGACGCAAAACGTGCATTTGACAATATCAACAGGACGTGCCTGTTTTATAAGCTCCAGAAGTCCGGAATCAAAGGGAAAATATACCACGCCATTATGTCTCTCTACCAGGATGTACAATATACAGTTCGTGTTAATGGTAGACTCACACATTGTTTTGACATATCTAAGGGAGTCAAACAAGGCTGTTCGATCTCTCCGACATTATTTTCGTTATATATAGACGATCTGGCAACATTGATAAACAGTCTTAACAAAGGAGTCGACATAGACGGTAAAAACATTGGCATTTTCATGTACGCAGATGACGTCGCACTAGTTGCTCCAACTGCTAACGCTTTACAACATATGCTTAATAAACTGTACGAGTGGTGCAATACGTGGAGAATGACACTAAACACATCAAAGACCAAAATCGTACATTTTCGACCTCAATCTCAAACCAGGAGCAATCATATCTTCACATTTGGGCCATCAAATCGTTTAGAATATGTTTCGGAATATCGATATCTCGGACTAACGTTAAATGAACATCTTGATATGCGACAAACTGTTAAAATACTTGCAAAATCAGCAAATCGTGCCTTAGGAATGCTAATTGCCAAATCAAATGTAAAGGGTGGACTACCATATGCAGTATTTACAAAACTATTTGACGCTCTTGTTTCCCCTATTATGTTATATGGTGCCGGCATTTGGGGTATTCGACAATACTCAGAAATGAATACAGTTCAAAACAAAGCAGCGAGGTATTTTCTGGGTGTTGGACGTAGAGCACCAAATGGATCAACCAAAGGAGATATTTGTTGGACTTCGGTATTTACCAAACAGCGAGTCGAGGTGACTAGACTTTGGTGCCGTTTAAAAAACATGGCTACAGATAGGACACCGAAACATATATCAAAATGGTCTCTTCGACATCATAAATCTTGGGAAAATCTCACCCGGAAAATGTTACAAGATCTGGACTTTACTCAGCTTATCAACAATGATACTATATCTCGAGTTAAATGCCATCTTAACGAGGTCAAAGAAGCATGTATCAGAGCAGATCACGTCGAATGGCACAACAGTCTTTGGGACGATAGTCGTAACCCAAATGGCAACAAATTACGGACATATCGACTGTTTAAAACACATTCCATGCAGCCCGCCCATTATACTTGTATCAACATGTCAAGGAGTGAACGCAGAGCTATTGCCCAACTTAGAAGTGGAACACTCCCATTGAAGATCGAAACTGGACGATATAACAATACCCCACTCCAGGATCGCCGATGTCACTGTGATAATTTAACTGTTGAGGACGAGTTTCATTTTCTTTTACAGTGCAATAGTTATGAAGAACTGAGAACTCCATTGTTTTTAGATTGTGTTAAGGAAATTCCTGACTTTCACCAGCTTAACCATATTCAACAATTTTGCAATATTATGTCAACACAGAGCCTACAAAGGACACTATCCAAAACACTTATAAAAATGATTTTAAAAAGACGTACTCTACTGTGATAATTTAACCTTTTATATAGTCATACTGAATCTAGTCTCTCATAGGTCGACACCGGCCGGGCCAGACGATTTTAATATTATTGTTTTATAATTGTATGTATTTTAAATGGCGTGAGACATAAATAAAATATAACATAACATAACATAACATATGTCCAATACAAGAAAAGATATTTCACTTTTTGTGATTTTGTAATATGGGGTCTATGGGGAATCAACCCGAACTAGAAGGCACATTTTCAAAAAATATTAAAGGATGATTCTCGGTTTGGAGAACGAAGTTCATCACTCTAATTGAGCGTTATCCCTGCTTCTGACCAATTTGATTTTTTTACATAATATAGATTTGAATGTCTTCTTTTGAATAGTCTTAAATTAATTTGGGTAATATTTCTAGATTTTCCATCAAAAAATTACTAGTGAACCACCCAACGTCACTTTTATGATTCGTACCACTTTTTTAACTTGATGTATTGCATATTTCCGTGGGTCAATTTGAGAAAAAAGACAAACAAAGCATACAGGGATATGTCATGAGCATATCATGAAAAAATCCTTTCAATATGTTTTTAAGAAACATTCGAAAATAATTCATTCTTAAATCGTGTCTCATTTTCGAGATATTCTCTGACATTTTATACACATTCATCCAATAGAGGGCCTCTCAAAAGAGCGACTTCAGATTGTTGGCATTTTACAAGTCATATATAAAATTGATTAATCATCTATTAATTAGATGTCACCACTTGCTATGAACTATGCTAGTGGTGAATATAAGCTAGTCAATTGCTGTGAGCTGGAGAGGGTGTATTTATATCACTTCTATCCTACCACGTGATTACGTGGTCGATGGGGATTTTCTGCTAATAATACACTGAAAACTGCCTGATGAATCTATACAATATATAGTAGAACACTTGGAATAAACATGTATGTAAAATCTAGTATAAGCTTACATTCAGAAATATGGAAATAAACAAACGTCCTTCCTTTACAGCTTCACTGTAGCCTGTACTCCTTTAAAGGGATACATCAATGAGTTAAAAAAAAAAAATCGGTGTGGAGAATGGACGGGGAATCGAAACACAATTCAGCGCGTAGGAGGTGAGGAACTTGCCACAAGATTACGCCTCTTTCTACCTCTCTCTTCCTGATTTAAATCTTAAAATTCGCCCAAGCATCGATCAACGTGGTTATTATAGCTATAAATAACACGTTCATTGTTCAACCAATCTACAATAAGCCGTTGATGAGAGATAGTCTAGAGAGATTAAACAACACTTAGAAACACCTTAGAAAAATGGCGCCCGTATATGATTTTTTGTGTTCTTTTCTGTTTATCAATACAATTTATATTTTGACACGATTGCGATAAAACGTATACCTAGAAATGTATGGCTAA